AGAAGGAATTCACACGTTTTCTTCTAGTACTTGTATAGTTTTATTTTTTACAATTCGATCTCTTTTGCTTTTTAAGGTTATTCTATGTATAGAATGAGGAATGCATCTATTTTTTTATTTTTCCAAGTAGCTATCCAGTTGTCCCAGTATTTTTTATTAAAAAGACTCTCTTTGCCCATTGATTTGAGATGCCACCTTTATCATGTTTGTATATATAACTGGTTCTGTTTCTGGACTGTTTATTCTGTTCCAGCCATCTGTCTACTCATGTGCCAGTACCACACTGCTTTAATTTTAAAGGCATTGTAGTATGTTTTAACATCTGAGTGGGCTTAGCCCCTCTCATAGCTTTCTTTTCAGTATTTTCATAACTATTCTTATTTGTTATTTTTCCATATGTGAATTTTAGAGTCAACTCAGCTATAAAACAGATTAATGGAATTTTTGTTGTGGTCACATCAAATGTGTAGGTTAGAATGTAATTAAAATAACTGGCAAAAATATGTCAATAACTGGTTCCTCTGTAGTGACTGTGACAAATTATTGTAAGTTTTCTAATTTATCTTTTTGTTTGAGACACATTTTTCACATATCTGAAATAATGTAAGGAGGTTAAGTACTGACTAGTGTTTAATTTTTATTTTAGGTTTCCATGGTGTCAGTAATTCATATTCCTGATAAGAATTATAAGCTTTCCTGTAGAATATTATATCAATATTTACTCCTGGCTCAAGGTCAATTTCATGATCTTAAGGTAAGTTGTACCCTGTAATCTTATCTCTGTCTCTTTTGTTTCCAGATTTTCAAAGAATGACTGTTTATGAAGGGATAATATTTTTCAGTTATCGTAGAAGTTAGGTATTACTTGTTATTGGATTTGCTAGCTCATAAATTTTAAGCAGCTCTTATGACCCTCAGGCTTAAAGAGTAATTGTCATTTGTAATTATCTTTAAACTTGTTTCTTTGATTTTCAGCAACTTTTCATGTCTGCAAATAATAATTCCACTCCCTCCAGCAATTCCTCTCCAGAAGAAAAAAGCATAGACCGAAGTTTGTTGGAAAAGGCTGGACTCTCCGAAAGTGAAGTAGATCCTCCAGAGGAGAATAGCAAAGACTGTGTTGTTTGCCAGAACGGGACTGTGAACTGGGTGCTCCTGCCCTGTAGACACACGTGTTTGTGTGATGGCTGTGTGAAATATTTTCAGCAGTGCCCAATGTGCAGGCAATTTGTTCAGGAATCTTTTGCACTTTGTAGTCAAAAGGAGCAAGATAAAGACAAACTGAAAACTCTCTGAGGCTGTTGTTAAAACTGAAAAGTGTATTTTCTACTGAAGATGCAGAAACTTGTGTTCTTGGAACTAATCATAACATGGAATCTACAGTGTTAACCCTCATTGAAAATTGTAGTTTATTTAACTTCATATTTGTATGGTTCCTGGATGATGAAAGTTAATTATTTCTTCCTGTTCAGTGTGGTAATATTGGAATGCCATCTGTATTAATATATAAAAATTCATTCAGCTCTTGAGAGAAATATAAACGTTTGGCCTTTTATCAGCTAGAGGATTTCATATAACGTCAATTAGAAAAATTCTGAAAAGCAATCCATCTAAAATTTGAGGAAGTAAAAGTCTTAAGATTTCCAAACGTTTTTCCTTTAACATAATCTGGAATACAGTTAGGAAAAAATTGAATTCCTAATACAAGTGTATGTTCCCCAGTTTATAGAGGAGATGGAAAGGGCTTCTAACTTTATGTCCTTTCCTGAAATATCAGTTTTTATAAATATCCATCTGTTTGGTTTCTAATTTTTCTTATAATCATAGTCACATGAACACATCTTAATTTTTAAATATAACTTCTTATATCATAAATGCAATATACAATTCTTGACTGTTCTCAGTGTATCATAGATTTAAATGATATTTATAGAAAACATATAAAAGAAGCATAATAAAATTTCTTAGGTAGTTCAGTTTATTGTCAAATATGATTAAATTAGCACACTGTGATCTATCTGGGAAGATCTGTGAGACTCTTAATCCTTACCTTAGATTTCCTCCTGCACAGCAAATCCATCCAAAACTGGAGAGGTCTTAGAGCAAGAAAAATCACTAAAAGAAACAAATGACTATTTTTTTTCTAGAGTATTTTTATTCCAAATAAACCCCATATCCTTCTGGATAGTAAATTACTTTGCTCCCTTGTTATATCCTCATAAGAGTTGATAAATCTGATAGGCAAAATGGCCCCATCCCTCACTCCTTCCAAGATGACTAAGAAAAAGGTAAATCAGAGCTTCCTGTGTCTTCAGTGCAAATTACCTTCAACTCACCAAGAAATCAGATCACAGCAAATAAACTATGACATTCAGGGAGATATTCAAGGCTTTTTTTGTCATGTTTTTATGAAGAATAATGCTTTGTATCAATGTTTTTACATAATGTCATTTCATCCAATCAAATATAGCACTCTCAAAAAGATATTACCTATTTTCCATTTTGTAAAACGAATCAAACTTTGTTCAACAGCTGTGTAATAAATACCTTCTTGGAGTCAGATACCTTTTGGGAGTTGGGGCTACAAAGAATCAGGAAAATCTTACCTCAATGTATTTGTGCTTAAAAGGAGCATTGGTGGCTTATCAGAAATTCCTAAATCCCTGTTCTAACTGCTGCTGGGAGTAGGGCTGTCAGAAGCTGCAGGCCTTGCTGCACTTAGCTACCATCGTAACAGTTCATCTGAGAAGTTCACTTTGTGGCATAAATTGGGGGAATACTCAGAGATCATGTCTCCCATCTCAGCCATCCTGCTTCCCTTTGCATATCTGTTTGTACCTAAACTGTCCTAGACACATTGTTGCTTTCTCACTGAGATAGATTCCACCTATAATTTTATTCCATTTTTCATAACTTTATTGTAGGAAAACATATATAACATAAAGTTTATCATTTTTACCATTGTTAAGTGTACAAATTCAGTGGAATTAACTACATGTACATTATTGTACAACCATCGCCAGTATCTGTCTTCAGAGTTTTTCATCATCTCAAGCAGAAACTCTATACCCATCAAACAGCAGCTTTCCATTACTCCTCCCTTCTGCCCCTGTTAACCACTATTTTACTTTCTGTATCTATGAATTTGAAATTCTAGACACTTCATATATATAGAATTATACAATATTTTTTCTTTTGTGTCTGGCTTATTTCACTGAGCATAATGTTTAAGTTTCATCTATGTTGAAGCATGTATCAGAATTTTCTTTTTAAAGCTGAATAATATTCTATTGTATGTATATACCACATTTTGTTTATCCACTCACTCATCATTTTTCATGTGTTAAAGATGATTTGCCTTTACTGCAGTTAAAGTAATTGTTTTTCCTGCCCTCAATGGTAATAAATATGAGGGATTTGGTAGGTAATCAAGTAAAAACAAGTACACTGACTCCTAGAGGCTTATGTCAGAATTTGCCAATAGCAGTGAATAGTGACATTTTGTGATAATGTCTATGACAGCATTATATTTGAATAGATTATTAGGTAAAATGTTTGGTTTCTATAGATTAGTTGCTACTAATTCAAGTAGGGATGTCAAACAGAAGAATATAGTACTCTGAAGTTCAGAGGAAAGGTTTGGTTGAAATTACGAATTTGGGGGTCATCAATGTAGTATTTAAAGCCATAGTCTGCATGTGGTCGCCAAGGGGGTGAGCACAGGAATAGAAGTGGTTCATGGACTGAGGGGGAGACTCCACCATTCAGGGAGATTATGGAGGAACCGGTGAATTGAGAAGAAGACTGAAGTAGGAAGAAAACCAAAAGGGTGGGCTTTACCAGCCATCCCAAAATGAAATGGTATAAAACAACAACCGTGTCATTACGCTCACAGATTCCGTGGTCAGGTACCGGGACAGGATATGGCAGGCCTGGGCCTGCCTGGCACCTTGGTTGGGAAGACTCAAATGACCAAGAGTGACTCAAAGGCCAGAGGGCTAAAATCGCCTGCAGTTTTCACTCACGTATTTGGTACCTGCCCTGTGATGACTCAAAAGCCAGGCTGAGCTAGAACAACATGTGGCCTCTCCATGTGGCTTGGCCATTGCTGCAGTCTGGTGGTCGGTCTCAAGGCAGTTGATTTCTTAAATGGCAGCTCAGGATTCCATGAGCAACTGTTCCTAGTGGACAAGGCAAAAACTGGATGGCCTTTTTTTGTTTTGTGTTTTTTCCTTTTATTTGCTTAATGAAGGTATAGTTTACATACCATACAATTTTCTCATTCAAAATGTACCATTGAGTAGTTTTAATATAATCAGAGTTTTTCAACCACTGCTACAATCAACTTCAGAACATTTTAATTACCCCCCAAAAGAAACTTTGTACATATTAGCATGTTCCTTCAACCCTAGGAAACCACTGATCTACTTTCTGTCTCTATAGATTTGCCTGTTCTGTACATTTCATGGAATCACATGTAGAATCACAAATGGAATCGCACAGTATGTGGCCTTTTGTGACTGATCACAAACATTGCTTAGCATAATGTATTTAAGATTCATCCATGTTTTAGCATGAATCAGTATTTTAATCCTTTTTATTACCAAATAATATTCCAGTGTATAAATAGCACATTGTGTTTACACATTTATCTACTTTTTGGCTATTATGAATAATGCTGCTGTGAACGTTAGTTATGAGTTCAGTTTTAGACATTTTAAGTTTGAGATGTGATGTTAAGCCTCCCTTGTTTAATTAGTAGAACATCTAGGCATTTAATCTCTTCTGTCTTTTTCCTAGTTATGTCCTACAAAAATATTGCAAATCTCTACCAGCCATAGGACTGAGTCAATTAGTCGGGTGAGGAGGAGAAGAAATAGCTGCTGTACACTTTCTATGCTCTAAGCGCTTTGTATTTATGCCAGCAGTTAAGCTACTGCTTCTCAGCTTCAAACCCACCCTCTGTACTCTGCTTTGTGATGCTGGGGTAGGACTCTGCAAACTACATTTATGTTTTGACAGCAGGCTCCCTATGAGGCTTTGCAAATCAGAGTACTAGAAGGAGATGAGAAGGTAGGAGGAAGAAGGGATTTGCTTCTTCCTGTCTCTTCTGGGTTTCCTGTTCCTATAAACATCATCCCAACCTCAACTCTTTATCTAGTGGCAGTTGATTCCAGGAGCAGCAGCTGAATCCAGATTGGAACCTGCTTCCTCACCTGCCCCGACTCAGGACACCAGCCCCAGCCCAGCAGTGCCCCCTCCTCAGAGGTCTGAGTGTTTTAGCTCTATGGGGCCCTTTCTCCAAACTTCTAAATTTTTATAATTTCAACTTCTTTACTTTGTTTCCCCAGCTCTGTGGATGGTAGCAGCTTCTTGCAATTGCCACTTCTTTCCACTTTTCATTTAACAACTTTTTATATTAATAATCTCTGAAGAATAATTGTCTTTTCTGTCTCCTGGCAACCCTAATTGATAAATTAGATATTATCTCTTATAATCCTAGCTCAATTTACGAAGGTAGACAGAAAACTGAGACCAATCGAGGTTAAATAGCCCATACTATACAGCTACTAAGGAGTAGAGTTGGGATTTGAATCCAGTTTTGGTTTGTTTTTTTGTTTTACCTAAAGCTTGTGCTCTTAATCACTATTCACCTTCCTTCAGAAAAACACACGGTTTTTCAATATCAAACTGGAGGTACAATTTTAAAATTCCTTCATCATTTTTATTGCTTGAGCTTGTATCAGACCCAGCATTTCTCAAAACATATCTCATGCAACACTATACTCCGAGACCTGTGAAGAATGGATTCTGGACTCAAGTAAGTTTAGAGCCTGCCATATGCTGTGCTCTCTAGAAAAGGCACAATGAACATTAGCATAATAAAGACTCTGAAAAATCTTGCAATAAAATTTAAATACATAACCAGGTAGCTTCTTGTGAATTTTTGACTAGGAACATTCCAAGGATGTGAACAATGTGAGATTAATCAATATCTAATCTAATGTATCCTGTGCAGCAGTAGTGCCGAGTTAGGAGAAAGTTGTTGGTGCCAGCAATCGTGGGACCATCTCATCATACAGAGGTGGCTTTAAACAATATTCGGGAAGGCAATTCTGATTTTTGTTTAGGTTATTGAAATGTGACCTCGGATTTATACATTTAAAATTTCAACTATTTAAACCTGTAGACACACTTCAACTGTATTTTCAGTTGAAAAAGATATTGGCATTTTTTTAAAATATTTTTTTAATTTTTAAATTACAATCGACATATGTCAACTGTATTTTCAGTTGAAAAAGATAGTGGCATTTTTTTAAAATAATTTTTTAATTTTTAAATTACAGTCGACATATGATATTATATTAGTTTCAGGTAGACAACATAGTGATTAGACATTTATATAACTTACAAAATGATCACCCTGATAAATCTAGTACCCATCTGATACCATACAGTTACTACAATATTATTGACTGTATTCCTTATGCTATACATTGCATTCTCATGACTATTTTGTAACTACTAATTTGTACTTCTTAATCCTTTTCCCATTTTCACTCCCCCCATCCCCCCTCCTATCTGGCAACCATCAAAATATTATCTATATCTATGAGTTTGTTTCTGTTTTGTTTGTTTATTTTGTTCTTTAGATTCCACGTGTAATGGAAATCATATGGCATTTGTCTTTCTTTGTCTGACTTATTCCACTCAGCACAATACCCTCTAGGTCACCCGTATTGTTGCAGATGGCAAGATTTCATTCTTTTTTAATGGCTGAGTAATATTCCATTGTATATGTGCACCACCTCTTCTTTACCCATTCATCCATTGATGGACACCCAGGTTGCCTAGATATTGGCAATTCTTGAATCAATAACCAAAATCAGAATAAAGATTTTATGACTTCTAGAATAAGTAATTTTTCCTTTTTTTTTCTCCCATGCTAATCTAGGACAAGTTATCCCTCCAAAAGGCTTAAGGTCCCACTTGTGTAACCCCAACCCATATAAATCCTGTAACTAGGAGTAGTTTTGAATACTTACATTTACCCTTTTGACTGGATTTATTTGAAAATTTATCTGTGACACCTTATGAGATATTTTACTGTAAAAAACTATAATTAATACTTCACACATTTGTTTATTTTTAAGAAGTGTGAACCCATCTGCATTTGTGTTTAAATTGTGGTTCATTTGCTTGTGTTTATATTATATTTAAATAACTTTACCAGTTAATTGGTTTGGGTTATACTGTTTAGAAACCAGTCAAAAATATGTTGTACCTAAGTGTCCTAAAAATTAGAGTTAACCTTTCTTATCTAACTCCATTCTCGAGAAAGCTGTCTCAAAAGTTATGTTCATGAAATAGTCATCCTTAAAAATGAAGAAAATTCTGATACATGCCAAAATATGGATGAACCTTGAAAACATTATGCTAAGTGACAGAAGCCAGACACAAGCAGATAATATTGTATGATTCCCTTTATATGAGGTACCTAAAACAGGCAAGTTCATGGAGACAGAGAGTACAATAGTGGTTAGCAGGAACTGAGAAAAGGG